ATGACCATCACTCACTCTCCCACTACAATTATTCAACATGTCTTAGGTCATGTGACTGATCCACATCTGACATGTCTGAAAACCATAGAATTTCCGCTTAACAAAATTTCTCTTTCCTCTTCCGTGAATGTTTCAGAAATCATCTTCTCAAATTTTTTGTCTTCTGTTCTTCCATCTATTGACAAATGTGTAGGTGTAGACAAATTGTATTTGTTAGCATCATTGTTGAATATGTCTGTGTTTTCTTCAATATTCATATTTAATTCCTCTCTGGGTATATCTTTCTTCGCTACGTTAATAAGTGGATTTTGACATGATTTAGAACCTACGTCGATATGAAATGCTGAAGAACAAGATGGTTCTACTCTTAATTGCGATTCGCACAATTGTTTACAATTGGATACATTAACGCTATCGTTTGGTGATTTTCTTTTTCGCAACATTTCTTTATCTTGCCTTTGACCGAAATTATTTACCACGGCTTTCTGAGTTTCCGGGATTATGACGTCAACTAAATTTTCTTGTTGAAATCTACTTACGTATGGATATTCATTTCCTTCCATTATGTTATCAGCGGATTTAGTAGCTTGTAAACATGTTTCATTACAATTAATAGATGAGTAAACAACAGACATCCCGATTGGTCTGAAATATCAGTTGAATGATTACTCTTAGAGGATTTCTGAATAATGTTATTTACTTCGTGACTGTAAGATGGATTGAATTCTGTTTGTAGATACAAACCTTGAGTTCGTTGGAATGGAGTGTGACGTTGCTTTTTAAAACGGGCACACCTTGCAGATGTTTTTTTGTTTTCTCAGTTCAACGGATGAGCCTGCCTGTGTGGATTTGTGTACACAGACATTATGACTAGCAGTTGATTCCAGTGCTCTACGCGATGTTTGTATTGTATCAGCCTCCTATTCAATATTTGGTGTAAGTTGATCTAGCTTTGAAGGAACCTTGATGAATTTCAGAAGGTTTTTTACTTGAAGTATTATTTGGTTGCATTATATTAGTGTTAACAAATCCGTATTTGTCGACATGAATTGATTAGCGCTAGTCATTTTTTTCAAACTTTCTAACAAATTTTTCTCTGATACCAACTGAAACAGTTCGTCAACTTTCCCATCATCCCAAAGTCCCGACTCATCACCAAACTCTGTTGGGAATATTTTTTCTTCACGAAGTTTACGGGCCAAAGCTTCGTATTTTTTCTTTAAGTCCTCGATTGTGTCTTTAGATTTCCCTGTAGGATTTCTCCACTAGAGCCCCACCTCTCTATCCCACCATTTTGGTTTGCAATTTTCGCTCCAAACACCATCCTGACCTTCACCTTTCTTAGCGCAAACTCTAGATAGAATACGGACGATAGAAATCAGCCATTCTTTACTAGTCTTTACAGGTTTACTTACAGAGGCCAAAGTGTCACATGACCTGTCAGACAGGTCAAAGTTCAAGTCTCTGCAACTCATATTTGCCGCTGAGATCTGTCATTTACTAACAAAATTTATAAGCTATTTTTGCTTCTTTAATGCTGTGTTAATCCCGGAATAGCTGTGTCAAAATGTATTACACGTGCAACAACATTTTAACCTGACTATCTATTTATTCTAAATGTTAGCCCACTTTTTTCTTCATTAAACAATTGGGGACGACAGATACAGTTACATTATTTAAATCATCTAACGTCATTTAACGTCATGTACTTCATAAAAGCCATCTTTTGTATTCTTTCCTGTCATATATTTCTGGATATTTGTTTGATAATTGTGGATATCTCTTGTGTTTTTGGTCACCAAACTTGAGAATTCAAACTTGCGTAAACCTGTAAAACAGTGAATAAAGCCTTCTTATTAAAAAGGAAACACAATGTTAATATCCTGACAAATTAAAGACTTTTGTAATTATAATCTCTTAGAATTATCAAAAAAATCTCTGCCCCATTTTAAAGTCTAACTAAAGAATTTTCAATTTTCTGTTCGCGTTTTTTTTAATAAATAAATCTAGAGTCCCCCCAATCTCGCAGTGAAACCAAACTGCACTGCATTTTTAAAAAAATGTAAAACCATAGCCCTCTTTCAATAAACCAGCCTTACAATAAAAGTGATCATCTTTTCTCAACAGACAAGGTATATCCTTTAAAAATAAACAAATATGTTTACCTTTTTTTCTTTGCAGTGAATTGCTTGATACATATACCGAAAGAAATTATTAATGTATAACGTCTCAATCATAACGTCTGGCAGAGATGTTTATATTTTTACAAACGCAGCATCCATCATCTATACTAAACCAGACTAAGATCAAAGAAACACGTAATAATGTATAACCTTCAATAATTAACAAGCTATAGGGTCAGCCATAAGGAATAAACAGACGAAAGAAACATAAGCCATAATTAATCAACTATACTAAAAATAAACTAACCTGATAAAAAAAAGAAAACAATAAAATATGTGGCCAAAAAATAACACTAGTTAATAAGAAGTATTAAAGTTAACAACCTAAACAAAACGAAATCACGTTCCTTGGGCAAAACGAACGAGGGCGGCTGAGACCGAAATTCTCGGTTCAAAACAGCTAAGTCTGCGCGCGCACGGATAGTCGGTTTGGCGGCGAGAGTTTTCGAACTAGCAAACCGTCTAACTTTCAAAACCTGCCATAAATATAATTTTTAAAGTATTTAAAACATCATTTTTAAACGCTACAGCATAATCGATAGAGAGTTTTTTCGCACATAACTTTAACATTTTTTTGATGAGAGCAATCTAGAACTAAATAATCTGTTTTGTGTTTCTCCTGTAAAATTTACATTTTTAATGATAGTTGACTGAGGCTATCGATATGTAACTAGAATTGTAGCCTCATATATGAAACTTTTTTCCGATTCTATAAGCATTGAAATTTTTAAAAATAAAATCTCAAATTATTTAATATTAAATATTTTCTAACTCTTATTTCAATGTTTATAAAATGTATTTCGGAACACAAAATGGACTAAAACAAGTTTTTGACTCGTGTTAAATAATAATCATATCCTAACGACATTAGTATCTTGATGAGCTATTTTTGAGACCATGAACAGACCACCTACACGCAAACCGTTGTATGAAGAAGACAATAATAAAAACTGTGTCCAACCAAGAACAAACTTCACGGCAGCAGATGTTTGATTTTGGAGTTGTCCCTCCTACATGAGTGGCTGTCCCCAACTATCGAGCCTTATCTGCTCTGGACTATTCGGTTCAGTAATCATAAGCTTAACAGACGCGACCAGGTTGACCTCCATGCATTTATGCTGCTAAACACATTAAGAAGAGGATAAGTGGTCAGCCCAATGACCAGTCGCCATAACTTTTCCCAGCTTGAGGCAAATAATAACAAGAGAAGGTTGGAAGTGGGGCATGCACCAAACTAGAGCCGAAGAACAGAACTGGATTATTTCGTGGAGTAATCACATTCTCAAATACTCAATAAGGCCGTGCTATAGCTACTTCAGAGTAAATGTTAAAGTTACTATGCAGTAAATATCGTTTATTTTGTTTGAGCAAAAATATTTACTTTCCTTTGATAAAAATATGTCACGTATAAGTATTATGTGAATTTGCAACATACAAGCAAAATACAGGTTTTTAATTATTATTTAATTTTTGCCAATTCTCTTTTTATGTAAACTTTACGGGAACAGCAATTTCCACTGAGACACTGAGTTATTTATAGAAAAAAAACACAGAATCAATTTTTTTAAACCCAATTTTATTCAAAGATAAAAACAAGCGAAACTAGCTGAAAAAATTAAATGTGACTTTTACAATATCTCTAAAAGAAACAGCAAGTATAAATAGTGTTTAAAGCATCAATTATATTTATAGAAAGCATTGAGAATAAAAAATTACATATTTGATCAATTGATAACAAAATATTAAAATCTTTTAAACTTATATTTAAACAATAAAGTTTGTTGTATTTTCTTCAAAATACACAAAGCATATTATTAAAGAAAGTAAGTAGATATATTTTTGATTTATTCTACATTAATATAAAGCTACAACATTCGTTGTTTCAATTAAAAACAAAAATACCTAAATACTAAATATTTTTATCAAAAGGCAGCTTTAAATTGTATATTGGATATAGCAGTTGAGAGTTCAAATAAATAACATTTTAGCCACATTTTAACTATATATATATATATATATATATATATATATATATATATATATATATATATATATAAAATCAAATTTTAAACTTACTTTATATATATATATATATAATCAAATTTAAAACTTACTTCGAAACCGCAATAATACAAACCCTGGCTTCTTGTGTGTTAAGACGTTAATACGTTCCTTTGTGTCAGTAAGTTTTAGTCAGTACCCGGTTAAAGTGACTGTGACAACGTTTTTATTCGGCCATACAAATTTGTTTTATACTGTGAGCTCTGGAGACTTGTCTATATGTACCAGTGGCGTAGCGAGGTCGGGTGTCACCCGGTGCGGCACTTAATGGTGTCACCCCCCCCCAGAGGCGTAGCGACCCTTCCCGGGGACAAACTTTCAAATTTTTTATTTGCACCCCCCCAAACTTTCGATTTACACCCCCCCCCCCCCCTCAAGTTTTCGATTTGCACCCCCCCCCCCCTTTAAACTTTCGATTTGCACCCCCCCCCCTCAAACTCTTTCGATTTGCACCCCCCCCCCCCTTCAAGTTTTTCTCTATAGATTTTGCTATTTTTTGCCTTGGTGTCACCCCCCTAAATGGTGTCACCCGGTGCGGTCCGCCCCCCCGCCCCCCCCTCGCTACGCCCCTGATATGTACCACTTGTATATAGGGACTACAGTTAGCGTTATATTAGCAGTGTATAATATGCAACAAATACATTCATGTTTTATCTGAAAGTAAATAAATATTGTAAATATATGTATTTTTTATAGAAGAGTTATAACATAAATATATATTTATATATTCATTTGCTAAACTAATAGGCAGTGTTTCTATTGTATTACAGCAATATTTGGATGTTCATTATTCAAATGAAATATCCACATTTAGAATGTTTATTTGACCATAAGTAAAACCTCAGTTCTCTTAACTTTAACATGCTTTAACTCTTCTCCGTCAATATCATTATATTATAATCTTCCCACGCGCTCAAACTACGCATCATCAAAATATCTCAGATCATGTGACGGCTCCACGTCTGGCAGTTTTAAAAATAGATCAGCCACATCTTGAGAATTTCCAGCAAACAAACTATCTTGTTCCTCGCTCGTTCTGAATGTTTCAGAAATCTTCTCTAATAAAGGGTCTTCTGTACATTCATCTGTTGACAATTGTGTGGGTGTCAACAAATGGTCTTCGATAAATTTACTTTTAAATATTTTTTTGCTTTCTTCAATAATTATATTTAACTCCTCTCTCTCTTCATTTTGCTTAGCTAAATTAAAAAACGAAGTTTGGTCAAATTTAGAACTTCCATCTACATTAAGTTTCGAAGAATGAGACGTTTCGTCTCTTAATGAAGACTCACACAATTTTTTACAATGTATTACGTTAACACTATTACTGGAAGCTTTTCTCTTTCGTATCATTTCTTCTTCATTCCTTTCAGCGAAATTATTTTCTACGTCATTGTAAAGTTCTGTTATTTTAACATTAACCAAATCTTCATGCCGAAAGCTACCTATGTCGGGATATCCATTTCCTCTCTTTCTCTTAACAGAAGACTCAATAGCTAATAAACTTTTTTTACTACTATTTTTGGATGGGCAAACATCAAGAACATTTTCACACACTACAGATCCCTGTTTGCCTGAAATATAAGCTGACTGATAACTCTTTGAAGATTTCTGAAAAATGTTATTTGCTTGGTGACTAGAAGATGGAGTGAATTCTGCTTGCTGATCTAAACTTTGAATTGAATCGACTGAAGTGTGACCCATCTTTTTACTACCATAATTTTTTGTCTTTTTGAGTGAGTAACTTTTCTTTGTGGATTTAACGTTATCCGCCTCTGTATCAATTCCTGATGTAAGTTGATTTATATTTGACTGGACTTTGAAACATCTTTGAAGATTAGTAATTTCAATTAAAATTTTGTTACGAATAGTTGGGTTAATTTGATCTAGTCCGTACTTATCGATGTAACTAGTACACGCGCAGGTACTGTTTTTCAAACTTTCGTACAAATTTTTCTCCGATACCAACTGAAACAGTTCGTCAACTTTCCCAACATCCCAAAGTCTCGCCTCGTCATCAAACTCTGATGGAAATCTTCTTTCTTCACGAAGTTTACGGGCCAAAGCTTCGTATTTTTTCTTTAAGTCATCGACTGTGTCTTTAGATTTTCCTGTAGGATTTCTCCATTGGAGTCCCACCTCTCTATCCCACCATTCTGGTTTACAATTTTCGCTCCAAACACCATCCTGACCTTTACCTTTCTCAATATAAACTCTAGACAGAATACGGACGATAGAAATCAGCCATTCTTTACTCGTCTTTACAGGTTTATTTACAGAGGTCAAAGTGTCAAAAGACCTGTCAGACAGGTCAAAGTTCAAGTTTCTGCAGCTCATGTCAGCTGCTGACAATTGTCTTTCACAATTAAAAATATCTACATTGTCATTTATGTGATATATACAAGAAAGCAATAAAAGTTGAATTGACTATGTTCTAATCGCAACTTGTGTTAGACGCTTTCAACGATTTATCTCTATAGTCTGCTCCCCTCAAATAAACATGAGGAAGACAGAGAAACGCACACATAGAGCTTCTTGACTGTTTGGTTATTCTGAATGTGGGTTTGATTAATGATATATTTGCTTCCTCACAGGATTGGAAATGCGCAGAGCTTTCATCTAATATTGTTAGAACGGTTATACTATTTGAAAACAATTCGTTCTCCAAAATTATGTTTATTAATATAATATAATATAACACATTACCGAAATTAAATTTGCTTTTTTGAAACACATTTTGTAATATCTGAAGAGCTGATTCGACAAATTCTATATTTTTTTTGTCAACATCATATGTCCTGTTGGATTCTTCTTTGAGAATATTTTGTATCGAAGCTTTATTAAAGTGTCTATGAAATGAGTAATCAAAGATCTCATACATAATGCCATCATTAAACTTCACCGTTAAATTATTCTGAATGACGTCGGCCATTTTGTTCATCAAAACCACAGTGATAGAGGCTGTGTCGATATTAATGTCAGGCAACGTTGCCGATTGGCGACTTTCTTTTGAGTCTTTGGTCGCATTGTATTTCTTGTCAACAATTTGTTTAATCAATTTGGTTATCTCATGTTTCTCTTCACCAAACATGAGATTAATTTTTCTTTCTAATATCTGCAGATTCTTGTCGTCTAAAATGTGACTAGTCAAACTACCACTTTCTAATTCTTTAATAATGTAACACGTGACCTTTGTAGCCAAACCTTCAGTATTATCATCTAAGTCGGAATCGTCGTGTGATCTATCCATCCATTTTTCACCAGTTGATATTTTGTATTTGTCACGGAATAGTTGTATCAAAGCTAATTTTAGATCTGCATATAGTGGGTAATCCACCACCTTACACGTAAAACCATCTTTAAATCTGACTTTTATATCATTCTGAATGTAGCTCGCCATTTTGTGCATCAAACACTTCGTGGCAGACGTAACATTTAATGTCTTTTTGATGGCCTTCTTGTGTCTTTATTAGTCTTGTCAACAAATTCTTTCATTAATAAAAATATATATTCTTTCTGGTCACCAAACACTTGAGAAGCCAAACTTTCATCAACTTATTCAAACTGTATCTGACTTTCTAATTCTTTAATTACGAAACTAGTGACTTTTGTAGCCATATCCTCAGCACCCTCTAGTAAGTCCAAATTGAAGTGAGACAGTATACGTAATGTTTAATTTAGAATGTTGTATTTGTCAGGGAATGTTTGTATCAAAACTTGTTTTATGCGTTCACGCATACAACCATATTAAGGCTTGTATAAAGAATGTCTTTGATACGAGATCATTTTGCTCATCAAAGAGAATCTCACTTGCTTCTTGTCACCAAACATGAAAATCTGAGAATATAATTAATGTGTGTACTATACTATAAATAAATAGTGTATACTAGTTTGTAAATTTTCTATATGTGTCTATATTTTGTGTACGTGCGTGCATCGATATTTGTAAATGTGTCTATATGTTTGTGTACGGATGTAAGTTTTTAAACATGTGTTTATATTTGTGTGTATATGTCTGTACATGTATGTATGTCTATGTGTGCGCATATGTTTGTTTATGAATAAGCGTTAATGAATGTGTGAATGTGTTTATATATATATAATATATATATATATATATATATATATATATATATATATATATATATATATATATATATATATATATATATATATATATGTATATATATATATATATATATATATAAAGCAAAGTGGTCAGGTGCCCGATAGTGCACTTCCCGGTGCTGCAAGCGCGTTAAATTTGGCACGATGGTGCCTTGGGGAGATACAAGACGAGGGCCGGTGACGGTTTGCCGAAAAGTCCTCGGAGAGGGGGTCAAAACTGACCTCGACTGACCGGCGCCTTATATGGGCTATATTACGAAAAAAAAATTCCGACGACGGCCCCCCCCCCTTGAAATTTTGTGAGGTGGTAGGAGAACGCCTCGGGGTGTCACAAAAAACTCGCCATGTCCGGGAAAAATCGGTAAATGGGTCAAAACTGACCAGTCGTATTTCCCAATATAATCTTTGTATTTTATGGGAAAAACAGAGGGTAATTTCAAAACCGATTTTAGGGCACTTACCCTCTTTACATCTGGCGAATTTTTGGCATGCTCATAGGTAAATGGCTTGGCCGTTTGGCAAACTTGTCGGTTTTACTCAAAGCCCTCGACGAGGGCTAAAAAGTGACCGCGAGTGAAATTCTCTTTATACGATATATATATATATATATATATATATATATATATATATATATATATATATATATATATATATATATGTATATATATATATATATATATATATATATATATATATGTATATATATATATATATATATATATATATATATATATATATATATATATATATATATATATATATATTTATATAAATTGACGAACGATCCCCCTAATATTTTGTTATGTCCTAGACCGACCCTGAAGGTTAACAAAAAACATTATTTCCGTTGGATAAAACCCTTAGAAACGTTTAATTTTTCTATACCTCGTATTTTCCCTATATCAACAATTGTTTGTGAAAAAGTAATGTAAGACTAAGTCATTTGGTCTATGAACAGGGGAAGTAACTTTTTAATGTAATAACTTTTAAATAGTTTATATACTATTTATAAGAAAAAACAAAAATCATATAATATAGCATTCATTTAAACAGATATTTTATTTCGTAGAAATTGTAAAAATTCATTGCAAAAGTAATTTATTATAATATTTGTGTTATACTATTAAGAAAGCCCTTGCAGTTCTTATAACCTTGCGAGTAATAAATGTGCAAAAATTCCATCAATGTTTGAATGATACGAAATTAATCAACTGTATAAATTTAGGCCCTTTGCATTTAATAAACACCCAATCACCTATTAATTAATCATTCAATTTCTCCATTTTTTTAACAAATAAGCGAAGCTAGGCAGTATGCCTAGTATATATATACGTGTATGTATGTGATAATCTGAGTTTATTCCTGCACTTGCATATGTTCATTTGTGCGCTTGTTTTTTTTTTAATGAGTGGACATTTCACACAAGAGCTGTGTATTGTACTAGCTACACAATTTGCGTTTTGATTTTGTTGTGGGTGGGGGGGGGGGGAATTACAGTTCAAATTTTTAAAAATTATTTGAATAAAACAGAAAATTCAAAGAAAATCAAGAAAATCTAAACTATTAAAATATATTTCATTAAAATTCTTGATAAGATAACAATGCCTCAAACACTTACTATCAATATAAATCTGTAGAGCATGAAAAAAACACATTGTAATAGCTCAGTTCTTGCTTTCCATCCAGCGAATTGATGTACCTCACCAGTTGATTCCCTTTTATAGCCCGCTGAACGATAGTTTAATCTATCAAGCCACACTAAAGATTGCAGGTTTACAGCTCGCTTGTCCGTATGAAGGGTGTCTCATCCTAGGAATTTCCGAAGTGATTTGGTTGATGCAAATTTACTACAGCGTAAAAACATTTCTAAAAACATTCTACGCGCATGTTACTTAACAAGTCAACAATTTATACTAAAATTAAAAGCTTGAATATATATTTTTTTAGTTTGTTTGTCTTTCCAGCTACATGAGAGCATTAACACTTTATGTAAAACATGTATTTATGTACAGAAAAAAGTTATATTTTCCCCAAATGTTATGCTCAAATTTATTAAAGGCGATAATTGATTTATTGATATATTCATTTGCAGAAACATTCCTTTAATTATAAAGATTCAGAAAAAATACTTTATTTTCACAAAAATCAAACACTTTCACTTAGACTTAAAATAATGTCACTTGAAACTAATAGGAATTTATCCACATGAAACAAAACTTATACCGATAAACTGGATTTAAGACTAACAATTTCCAGTTTCTCCAGCATTTCATAATTTTATTTCATATTCTCATAAAGCAGCATATTCTAAATCCTTGCCTCCTCTAAATATTTACCCGAAAAAAAACTATATGTTTAGTTACAAAAGTACCTACCATTTCTATAAGTACATCTTACTGGAATCTCCACCTCTACATTTACTGTTATACAAAAAATATTTGAAGTGAGATAGATTGTTCCCACACTCAAAAAGACAGACCCTCACTTAATATCCACTAGACAAAAATAAAGAGGCGACAAATTTAGGACTCTGATTAAAACAATTCTATTTTAGTATTGTTTGAAAAGCCAATGGACGCACATAAGTGTCAATGCTAATGTGTTTTTTTTACTGGCGAAGTGACATTCTTATTATTACTTATATAAATAAATAAATAATTGTGAACTCTAAGTAATTATTACTTGTATGTCAAGTACATCAGAGTTCACGAGTTTCTGTGACCTCGGTACTTGAAGGGGTTGTGTAAAAATTACTTTACATTCTTCGACTCGGAGCAGACTCCAATAAAAAAGGAAGATGAAAAGTTTTTAAAAAGTAAAGTTTTGTCCTGTTTCTCAACTTTTAAATGAATTGATGTTAAAGAAAAACAGCAAAAATGTTAATGTTAATGTTAATTTTATTTCCAAAATTTTGGAATATAATATAACGAAGAATGCGTTGTTCTTTATTTTTGGTGAATGCCAGAACAAAACCACTAAAGTTTGTGAAATTGGTTTTTTATTATATTGAAGTGGATTGGATGGGATTTGATTAACTTTAGTAGAATTGGTGCATAGATGAGCAAAACGTTGAAAGTTAATTTTGAAAAATTTTTCTTTTTACAGACACCATGTTTCAAAGCAATTCGTGCCTAAGAAGAAAACACGATTTTCTAAGTTATTGTCACCTACCAATTGAAGCACTGATAATTGAAGCACGATGGTTCCATCGTTTCTGTAACAAAGTTGGAATGTGCTGTGGTGTGTTAATCTAAGTCTTTACCGAGATCGCTCTCGTCGCTTGTAGAAACGTTAAGAAGTCTCGGATAACAGCTTATGATTTGAATTATACTTGTTTTATTGCGGTTTATTAATTAATTAAATGCAGACTTTATAATAATCTCATTACGTTATTAGTAAATAAGTAGTTTGGATATTTCATGTAATACTGTAAAATAAAGAAATTTTTTTTGTGTTTAGGATTATTTATCTGTGATTCCCATATTTTAAAACGACGAATCTCCGATTAAAGCACGGTATGAATTACGAATAGAATTTTTTTTTTCAAAATGAAACTCCAACAAGAATGATCGATATTGATTATAAGCTGTTTATAGGGAAACTAACTGTTTACGGTGCTGCTGATTGGAGCGGGCATGCACAGCTATGTTTCTATCAGCCATCTCTTCTGGAGTGATATATATATATGTATATGTATATATATATATATATATATATATATATATATATATGGATATTTATATATTTATATATATATTTATAAATATATATATATATATATATATATATATATATATATATATATATATATATATATATATATATATATATATATATATATTTTTCTTTAAATTGCACCACGAAAATTCGAGAGAAATGTCTAACATATTTAAATAAACAACACTTGTTTCACAATTTTAGTAAGGAATTCTATACATAATATTATGTTGACAATCCAAAAACGACGTAACACATTAGTCTAAACCACCTCCCAAACCCCACTGATATTTCCTTTTTTTTAGATCAGCGGCTTTTTTTTTTTTCTAAAATCGTTACTAAGCACCGTCAACATTGAGTATATTAATGCGTAGTTTTAAAAAGCTTTTAAATCTTTTACAAAAACACAAAGCTACTAAAACTAAACATTTTGCACTTTTTTTAATGCCAAAAGTGTGTTCTAACACCCCCCCTCTTCCCCAACGACGCTATATTTCCAATATCCCATTTCCCTAGTAGTGTGCCATGGTTAGGTATGACCTAATAATTGTTATAGACTTATCGCCACAAATGTGCAGGGTTAACCCTCGACTCCAGGTAGGCTGCCAGATATTACCAAGTACATTCAGTGACGGTGCTTTTCCTGGAAATCAAGCGAAAGATTATTTCAATTTTCACAAATATTTAGAAGATAATAACTTCGTGATTCTCATTAATAGCTGTAATACAAAATAAATAATCGCCACTAGTTTTTAAAATCTGAACTGTATTATAATAAACTATAAAATAAGTTTGTTGAAAAACCAATGCAAAATTCCGCCTTTTCAGCATAGTAAAACTTTGAAAATATAAAGCTGTATCAATTAAGTAGCCAACCTTCAAGCTTTAAGTATATATGAATGCACACAAAACACATCTACAAACATTTACTCACTCCCTCAAACAAATACGAAAACATTTTTATTTTTGGCCCTTAAAATAAATTGACCATTACGAGACTAATTCTGTAAAAAAAAAACAAATTTTTTAAATGTTCAAGTTTGAAAAAATATCAGTCGAGATTTTGAACGGTGAATCAAGGATTTTGGCAAGTCGCCAGCAAGAAGTGTGCTGGTGTAGATCGGCTGTGTCAGACTGCGAAATCGTCTGCTGGGTTAACCTGGTCACGTTGTCGGCTGCTGGTCCGGATATAAACACGGCTGCGGTGTGCTAGTTTCTAGGACATTTTACGTCTACTGGGCGAATTAATTTTTTGTTTCTTTTCAAAAGCGCTCTTTGTAAGCTAGAAATATATAGGCCATTGGCGTTCATCCCCACCCACCAAAACACAGCAATTTTTTTATACATAAAAAAAAACTTGCAAGCCATTTTTTTCGTGAATACAATTTTTTTTTTACATATTTTGTTACACTGAGAATAAACGTATTGTTTATTGATTTTTGTCAAAGTATATTATTTTATATTACACCAAAGAAAATTTGAAGTAGACATGTGTAGAGATTGCTGTAATCTTGACTATCTTGGAAATACAATTTTGCAGAGGGGGTCGTCCATAAATGACGTCACACTTCCAGGGTGGAGTGCGGATTGGAAATTTATGATGAAGTGTGCTCTAGGCAAAGGGAGGGAAAGGCTTAAAATGGTGACGACAAATTTCCACTATTTATAGAACTGTATGTTTTAGCCGATATTTCGTGTTTTTAAGACTGTTTTTGTAACTGATTGATATACTAAAAACATTTTTTTAAATGCATTTTAGATAAAGATAATAGTTTCATGTAAGAAATCTCGGGACTTTTCGGTTCACAAACCATTAGCTTAACAGACCCGACTAGATCGACATCATTGCATTTAAGCTGATGAAGAATATTTTTAACCTCCAGAGAGCAAGAGGATAGGTGGTCAGACAATGACCAGTCGCCTTAACTTTTCCCATTGTGAGGCTATTATTCACTGGAGAATGGTGGTAAAGGGACATGTACCAAACTAGATATTAAATATTACATATTAAATACTTTCCGACAATTTATATTTTTAAATTTTGTTTGAATTATGAGATAAAAAATATTTTACAAAATCATAACAAACTATGCAAAACGTGGTTGTATAATGATATACATACAGTGGTGCATCAACATACGAGTGCACCGACATGTGGGATTTTTTTTTTTTTGCTACGAGTTTTCGAGCTAGCTAAATTTTACTCTGTCATAAGTGCAAAATTTCAGAAACGAGTAACTAGATTAGCGGGTTAACAGTTCATGGAATAAAGCATCCCGAATAAGTTGTAACTAATTGTAGATTTTGAGCTGCATTGGAGAAAAAAAACTCCCTTGGATATGTTTGTTTTAACTGCATGCAAGGAAAAAGGTAGGAAAGGAAACTGCGCAAAAAAAAACAGACCAGCAAAAAGAAAAGAGGTGACGCAAATAAAGCGAAAGTAACAAAACATTATACAGTAACATTTTGGTTCAATTATGTTCGAAGAAGTTTAAGTTCCTTTAAGTTTTAGGGAATGAGTGTAACGTTACGAGTGTAAACTGTATTTGAATTAAAGCACCAAACTGCGTAAAGGACGTTTGATAAACATTTTATGTTCAGAGTATTTTATGCGTAAAATAAATGCATGTTTTAAGTTAATTAAATTATCCAATACAATGTAATGAATGTTTGCTTTATAGGTTAAATATATTTTAAATGTTTTATACACAGTATTTATAATTAGTAAAGTAAAATAATCATCTTTATTATATATCCAATAATTTACAAAATAATTGTATTATTTTTTAATTATTTTTTTAACAATTTGAAAACACAAGGCGTTTAAGTATAAAATTGCACAATGATTTGCAAAGCTAAAAGGAATTGTTTCTTTTGCTTTACATAAATATTTGGATGCCCATCGTTAAAAGGAATGATCCAACTTAAAAATGTTTTTGTGACCTTTAGTAAAACATCAGTTATCTAAGGTTTTGAACATGACTTCTCTTTTCTTCTTCTTCTT